TGCTCTATTGGTCTCTTTTTTGACATCCAGAGTATGTTTATCATCCTATATTTCTGGTTTACATAAATATTTTATAGTTCATAATTCTAGTGGTGTATGTTTGTAGTCCACAATCATTTACTGGACCTGGTTGCCCTCCAGTCTTAGTAGCTCAACAATCCATTTTAACTTTTGAGTTTTAATGGATTTACGACAATATCTTCGATTTTAGTTGACACTAACTTAGTGTAGTTTTTAATTAAGAAGTCTTAACATTTGATTTGTGTATTGAAAAAATAAATACTCAAGATGATGCGTTTAAAAACTATTAATACTTTGATACTTCGAGTCCGAGACCAGTGGTCTTATAAACATTTTCTACATTCTTCGCTTTAATTTATTAATAAGACCTTGTTCTTAAGATTTATAAGGACAAGGTTAGCTTTGTGTGCAGCTAATAAGCGATCCTGTATGCATTCTTTTTATTTTTTGTCATTAGTTGTCAGTAACTTAAGGTATACAAATTTTTCTGCTGTTTGGAACCCATATTTTCCAACTTGAGAGTTCTGCTAGTTCTGTCTATTGATGTGACATCCCTGTTTTGTTTAAAATATAACAGAACGGATACTGGCAAATCATTCTTTTGTCTTTTGTATTTTCATAAGCGGAGCTTGAAGTATTCTTGAAATATCAATCCAATTTGCTGATTAGTTTTAATAGAAAGTTCTCCATATATATTAGAATTTCTGACCTCTCGAGGTCAAAGAAGATGCAGAGTTTATGCTGAAATTGCGTTTTTGTCTATGCATGGTGTTTAAAATTAACTTCTTATAATGAAGGTTCTATATTCACATTATATGCTTCTGATGGATCTCAGCAAAAAAGTAGGAAAAATGGATATTTTAATGGTAATAGTTTATGTGTCTGCTGAAATTTAGCAAGATACTAAGTAGTAGAAAAATAATGGAGATTCTACGCTGCTAATCTATATGCCTGATGGAATTTAATAAGGAGCCAATGATGGTTCAGTACCAATAATTTATCTTCTGATGAAACTCAGCAAGAAATAAAGAAGGATGGATATGAGAGAAGATACGAAGCAAAAAATAGAAAAAGAATAGATTTTTAGGTTAATAATCTGTTTCTAATTGAATTTAGCATGATGTACAAGTGAATGGAAATTTTGTGTTACCAATCGATATTCCTGGTGGAATTCAGTAAATAATAAGAGACAAACTAACAATCTTCATATGTCCCTGATGAAATAAGGCGACATATAATGTCAACATAAAAGTTAATCTTAAGGGATATTAACCTGTTCAAGATGTCATTTGCTCATTCATTTGTGCATATTTTTTTTCTGTTATTGTTGAAAGTTTTTTATTACACTTTAAGAAATTTTTTTTAATCACTTTTCATTTTCAAATGAACATCATATTCCATGTTAGTTAGTTAGACATAATTTACTTTAATCGCTACACAGTACCTAATAAATTTATAATTTGTAACAAATACCTGAAAGCGTGCAATCGTCAGACCGCGTAAAATTTATTCAATGATATCAATTTTCTTTGCATTTTCCAAAAGGTAAGAGGCGAGAAGATACTCCGCCGACTTTGAGTTTCAATGGTCATATCAACTTGACATTGCAGCAAACCTGCAAATGTGGTAAGGAAGTGGAAAAATAAATAAAAAAAAAAAACGAAAAATTAACTTGTAATATAAAAAATTATTCCACTTAATAATTTCATGACGCAATCTCGTCAGGTTAATATAAAATATTTCCACACAGAGAAACGTGATAGCAGTGAAAGTTTCTATGGGGAGAAAAATTAACGCTTTTCGGAAATTATGAAACATTTGCATTGTCTCAACTTTGGAGTTTGGAGTTTAAGAAATTGAAATATTTATAAACGAACCTAAATTGCTTCTTTTCAAAAATCCGCTTCCTATTTCACACTCAAACGCTGTGAACATTTTTCAGAGGTTTTTTTCTTGTAGGCTTTCAAGCAAATCGAGTCATCCAATTAGTAAACAAAATTTGAATAAATTCATCTTCTTCGAATTCTTCTCTAATGTGAGGCGGAGTGGTATGTATGCGATGTGGCATAAGCCCTTTAATTTGAATTAATTATTTTCAATTGAATATTGGAGCAACTGCATTGCACGGGAAATGCCGTGCAAAGTTCAAGGCAGAAAAAGTCTACATAAATATCATTTTATAATGGCCAATTAAGCATAATGCATATTTACACAGAAAGTGAGAGGTTAAAAATTTTCATAACGTTTTATTCAGTTAAACTCTGTGGTATTAAACGTTGACTCGCAGCCATAATTTACGAAGTACAAGTGCATAGATACACTGCGATCCAATGCGATATGCTGAAGGCACGGCATTTCTTTGGTTGGCGAGGCGAGTATGTATTTCATGTACTGTAACGGAAGCACAATGGTTGAGGTTGTGAAGAAATTACCGCAATCGAATGAGAGGAAGGTTTACCAGACACAATTTTTAATAATACTTATCATTATAATTATTATCGAATGTTTGATTTTTAATGTTAATAATGCACTTTCATGTGTTTCATTGTCTTCATTTTCAGAAGCGTGTAACATAAGGTGAAAGGTTTAGGCTGAGACCCAAATTATAACACAGAGCATGTTTTTAGGCCGTTATGTAATTTGAATACTTTTACTACATGCAAAAGATTTGTAGGATGTAGAAGAATGAAAATAAAATCTTTGATAAAGTTATTTCCTTAATATAAATCAAAATTTCTCTTACTAAATTGTCAGCTGTAAGCATTTTCATAATATGAGTACTTACACCAGTAGTTCCCAAATGATGGTCCACGAGATGCTTAAAAACGGTCCATGAATCAAATTGAACAGGTCAAAATTGAACCGATTAAAAAATACATAAAGGATAGAGCCATGAAATTATTTGCGAAAACTGACAGACTTACCAACACCGCGTTATTGAATCTCAAAATGGTTACAGGCTCCTCGGGGAGGTATGCAGATCTGAGGTCAATTATTGCTTAGTCTGATGAAGTGATAAACAATAATCCAATCAAGGCGTAAGAGGGGTTTTGAATATACCTCGAGTTAATAGAGAGTAAAAGTGCTAAAGTGCACTGGCTTGAATAGCTTCAACATAATAGGTATGGGTTTGTCCACCAAGACCTCACTTGTTAGAAAATAAGCACTAAAAATATCCAAGTACTTATATATCTATTTTATAGCTTATGTAGTGTATCTATATACTTATAAAATTTATTATGCACTATACCAGAGATGCATAAAGCATATTAAAATAATCATACAGTTTATCATTCTTAAACTTTGTGGTCCCTATTAATCATAGTAGTCCTTAGTCAAAAAAAGGTTAGATAACACCCACTTACCCAGATAATTTCGTATGTAGTTAGAGTTCAACGTCATATTAGAATAACGTTCCTCAGACCAAATTCATCTTACATAAAATCGGAATTTATATAAAAAGTTAACGTTTTGCGATTTGCTCTCTAAATGTATATGAATTGCAGTCTGACTTAATTTTCCCGGTGTATGCACTCGTTACACACAGATGTATTTGTTTGTAGACCTCGCTGAATAAACAGTATATTGTACAAAGACTAGCCAGACTGCAAACATCAGCATATGTGGCAGCAACAGTGGTATTGAAGTCATGATCCACAAAAGCACTCAATATTATACTTCATTTAGTTTCCATTGATATTTAATTCGAACAACCAGATACTCTCAATGCACAAAGGCTTGAAGATCTGCACTGTGGGAACACTTTCATGATGGTAATATTTTATCAATATATTCGAGTGGAAGTTGTAACAAACAAATATTTGAAACGTGAACAAAAATATTGGGCTAAATTAATTCACGTTTTCAACTGACCACTATATGTTATTTGTATTAAAAATTTTATGGAAGAAATATTGTACTACGTCTATTTAAACATTTCTATTTTCTATAGGTGTATAGGTCTATAGGTGTTTTTCAGTTATAGAAAACAGAAGCAATAAAGATAAATTCTTTAAAAGCCTATAATACTTCTATAGCCAATCGAGAACGAGATACCATAGATTCCTTTCTACAAATAAATAGTACAGGTTATTCAAAGATCAGAAATGTACGAAAAAAGTTACCTATTATTAAATAGCCAATAAAAGTTACTTTATAAGATACGAGTAACATATCATTATATCATTGATAAAACATTGGGTGCAGTTTTCAAAAAACAAACCCTATAATCGTGTAATGTGATAACACTGTAAAGTGTCTACAACAAAATACATACCGAGGTCGTTACACAAGACCGTGAATGCCCATATTAATAAAAAAAAACCTAAATAGGATATTAAATAATTGCTTCCTCGTGATTGGAACGCGATTGACACTCCAATGAAATTTAATTATTCACCAATAACACTACTTCTATAACTGATTCTTTAATTCGTCATCTTTTTTATCTGTCAAGACAACTCACTTGCTTAAAAAACCATCGCTTAAGTCAATGAATTGCAAATCGCTGAAACAATCTACTCATTCATCATATATAGCTCCATGTGACTTTTAACGTTTCCGATACTTCAAAAAATAATTTCATTTAAAACGGTGTTTATGTGACGCAAATGTATAGAGTCATTTAGTGGAGAACTTCCGAAAACCACATTACAGAGATGGGATCCAAAAATTGAAGAATCAATGAAAAAGTATATTGCCGTTGAAAGAGATTAATAAATTTAATTTTGCTCTATGACAAAAATTTATTTCGAATAGAAATATAAACTTCAATGTTATTTCTTAATAAATTAAAAATAAAAAAAAATAAATTTAAAAAAGTAGAAAATGTATAGCTGGTTAAAGTTACGGTTTTAATTCCAGAAAAAAAAAGTATTCCTTTATTCTAAAATGTTCAATTCTAAATAGACTTTTCATTGGATATGTAAATATTATTATTTACTATTCTCATTCCTTACAGGAATGAAAATCTACAAAGAAAATGTTGATAACTAAGCAACCAATGCATAAACAATTCAATAACTAAAGGATTATAAAATAAATCAATTTAAATTAAAACAAACATATTTTTTTAAGGACGAAATAAGAAGGCTTCACCTGATTTGAGCCCAACAATGGAGGAAGAAGAAAAGAAGAAGTATACTTTGGAAAGTTTATATTATCTATATTGTAATTCTGTAGTTAAGTACTCAATGGAAGTGGATAATACCGTCTATGACAAGATTTTGTTATCGCAAATTGATAGCTGGCTTGCTCAAGCAAAGTTGTTAAGAACTTATTTTACCCTAACTGAAACAGGAATGATTTACATGAAGTTTAAGTAATTTTCATCTCCCTCTCTTTCTCCCTCTCTCTCACATAGATTTATTTAATATAACTGAAATTTTATATTTTAAAAGGCGTTGGCGTATTGACTATGAAGAATTTTTGGAGTTCTTACAATTTCTATGTGAAAAAACGACTAAAATAACTATCGATGATGTTAAAAAGTTACTACTTGAGGCTGGTATTCCTGAAGGCAGATCTGAAATTGTTTACGTGAAATAAGTCAACAGTAAAAAAAAATTTTATGTTCACATTACATATATAAGAATACTTCCAATATTATTTATATATTTTAATAAATATTTACAATGGAACACATTGACACCGCATAAAATAATTATTTTTATTTAATTTTTTAAATTCACCAACAACATTCATAGACTGAATTTTCCAAGATTGGTCGGGTCTACGTCTACGACCAAGTGCCGTTCGACATCTCACAAAAAGACTGCGCAAGCAGGTCCAAGCGGGTAAGAACAGCATTTCTTAACCAGTTTTATACATTCATACTATAAATTATCTTTATGTAAATAATTGGTAGGTTAGCATTATTATTAAATAATAGGCTATAAATATATCCCGACGTAAAAGATCTATTATGCGCCTAAAAGCCAAACCAAAACAAATTTTAGAGTTTTTATAATTCTCGTAATTGCTGTGTAATTGCTTACTTGATTTCCGACTAAGATCCGGCTTCCAAGTTAATCAAGTCTACGTTTAGCCGCCGCTGAGTAGTTGCATTAGAACATGTTCTGATGTTTTCTTCTTATCATGCTAGAGTCGACAGGAATTACTTTCTACCGCACCTATATTCTTCATATATTCAGCAAATAATAATAGCTGTCAATGACTATATCGCAAATAGTAGATAAAAAGAAAATCTCAATTACTAAGCGGAAGAGCGTTCAGCGTTTTAAAATCTATTTAAAATTGTCACCAGTGAGGTTAGGCATACTTATGTCCAATGACGGCCCGTTCCGATATTTATTTGGACTAAAATGTTTACCCTAAGTTTTAGTCCTAAGTTTTCTTCTACACCATAGCATGTATTCAGTTAGTTTATTTGTAATAGTTATAGTTTATAGTTATAATATAAACATATATATATATATAAAATTCCTACATTCAAGTATATAACTACTGACTTACCGGATTAAATTGGTATGTGGCAAATGATAACTTCATCTTCCAAAGTAATGATTTACAGATTTCCAGTGGTGCACTCGCTTCAGTGTTATATGTATATACTTCTAGAACTAAGTTATACATTAATATGAGCTAAGTTCTATATGCTTTGAATTTAAATCAGCGTACGTGATCGAATGGGTACTATATATTTGATGGGTGAACAAATAACTTCTTTGGTTCAAGATGCGATCTAATCTGCCTTATTTGAACTTTTGTGAAGAGTAGTAATTTCTTGTACAAAAATTTAAAATCGTTCAGGTGAATTTATACGTCTATGTAAATCGGCGACTATATTTATGTACTTAGACTTTGACATATATGTTAAGAATAAGAAATTATTTATTAGAGTTATGACTCCTTTTCTGAACCAAAAAAATTTATTTAAAAAATCACATATAGAATCTGTTATAGAATCTAAAATAAATAAAATAAAAATATAATTTAAATACATATTAAAATAATAAAATTAGAAATCTAATAGAAATAAATTAATAAAATAAAAATAAATAATTGTGTGAAATACGGTTCAAATAAAATGAAATTGTTTAAAAATATTAAATTGAAAATTAAATATTGTAAATAATAATAATTTAATGAAAATAATGAATTTTTAAAAGCACTCTGCGCGAGGATAGAAGATGATATTTAAAATAAAAGTGAGATTTTCTAGCGTTAAATCGATTCAGTTTGAGGAATATTTTCTAAGTCTATTTTATATATATTGATGATATATACTCATATACTGATATATCATATATACTGATGATGGTTTTAAATAACGAAAACGTCGGAAATATAAATTAAATAAATAAAACAATAAAAAATTTTTTATTAAAAAACCAAATCAAAAGAATCTGACTAATAGCCCAACACTCATCTATATTTTCTAAGCTTTCATTTTCTTCAAATAATTTTTAATGTAGAGAATTTCGCAATTTTCAATCCATATGTATGAAATATTCTTTACTTTTCTCTCTTTGAGCATAGGATATCTATTCCGTTTATTATACAGAAAGATAATGAAGGAATAGTATGTGCATGTATTAGTCGTATCAGCTTCAAAACTAATTAAAAGATTCAATTCAAGAACTGTAGTGAACTATGCTGGGACTGTTATTCAAAGTGCCTTGGTACATCCGCACAAACGACATGCTAAGAGACCTTAGAATAGACCCGATCAAAAAATACATAAGGGACAGAGCCCTGAAGTTATATGCGAAAATTGATAGGCTATCCTATTTACCACTATCTAATCTTAGAGCAATCAGTCTCCGCACGGGGAGGTACGCAGATCTTAGATCAATCACTGAATAATTATGAAGTTTATGAGAGATATTCAATTTAGTCAATGAGATGGGTGGAACTTTAAAGTAACTATAAGTTTAGTTATACCATATAAACTATTTCTCGCCAATAATAAATGTACTTTATAGGTTTGTTAAAACAATTTATTTAATATTGAAAGCCTTATTACAGAATTAAGGTTGACAATTAATTATATTTGTTTTAAGTATCGATCATATTTTATGAAATATGACATCGCTAAATCTAGATTGCAATTATAATTATTTCTGCATTACATAATTAAAAATGTAAGGATATATTTATATGCTATTCTTAATCTTAACACTTTAAGGATGATATTGTTATCATACAAAAAAAAATTTTTGCAGTTACTTTGAAATAATTTCAAAATAATTTCTATTTAATTTACTTAGTCGCTATTGAGGACTTTTCCTTTGAGTCTGCCAAAGATTTAGCTGATGTGCTTTTACGCTGGGGCTTTGACTTTGTAGCGGTTTTAGGTGTTGCAGCAGCCTTTGTTGGAGTATTAACCTTTGCTGCAGTTGTTTTAGATTTATGTTTAGTCTCAGGTTCGTCTTTTTTGCCATTTATTTCTTTTGACTTTTGTTTCTCACTAAAAGCAACAAAAAGCAAAACAATTTATTATACAAACAATAAAAAACATTTTATATTTCCCATACCTTTCAATATCAATATTAAGAACTTCTCCTTCCTCGTCGTCTTCGTAGCCCATTTCATCATCATCTCCACCATTATTTTCTGCAGGTTCTACCTCGCGCAAAAAATCTCCAAGATCTTTGTCCACCTCTTCCCATAGCTTGTCTTCTACATGATCGTCACCATTTTCTGTATTTTCATTGTGATCGGCATCATTAGTCTCTTCATCTTCAACTTCTTCACTTTTTTCTTCTTCATCGTCATCGGCAATATCAGATTTTCCTGCATTAACTGCACCTTCTTCTTTTTCCTCATTATCATCAGCACCCTCATCGTTAGAATTACGCTCTTTCTTCTTTTCCTGCTCTTTTGCTTCAGCACTTTCCTTTTCTTCTAGTTCTTTCCTTCTTTTTTCTGCTTTCTCTTCCTCTTCCTTATGACGTACAAATGCTTTAAGGTGAGTACGCAAAAGACAATGCTTTGAAGTATACGATTCTAACGTATCTTTAGCGGCAGAGTAATGATTACACAATTTACAATAGAATGCATCAATTTTCTTGACATATTGTGCACCAATCGGTTGGCGTTCTTTAGTTTCATCGTCTTCATCAATGCCACCAATTTCGGAGTCATTCAATAGCGCATCGATGTCCATATCATCATCGATTTCATCAATTTCACCCACTGAATCAAGTGTTGTAAATTTATTTAAATCGATTTCGCGCATATCATCGTCACCGCTGTTATCACTATCTGAATCTCGCTTGCGAGCTTTATTCTATCATAAAAAAATAAAAATAAATTTAATTTTATTGTTTAAACATTTGCTAATATTCATAGGTTACTTACTTTAATATGTTCCAACGAGCAACGATGGGTCTCATACAACATAGGACTTTTGAATGCCAAATGACAGGTTGAGCAATAGGGCATTAAGAATTTTTTCATGGTCTTGTGATCCTCAGACAATTGATGTTTAGCTTTTGGTTGTCGATAATGCAAACGACATAAATGACAGAATTTTGGTTCATGTTCCTCCTTGGAATTCTCCTCGATTTCACGTTGTGTGGCACGTTGACGTGCGCGCAAACGTAACAAATGTGCCTTTTGACGTACAGCAATTTGACGAACTGCATTTTTATGGACACGTGAGTGCAAATGATAAGAATAATCCTGTAATGAAATTTTGTTAGTACAAATAGTTTAATTTCTTTTTAACAATTTACTTACTTTGAAAGTCACACATTTAGTGCGACAATGAATGCAAGTCAGTTTTATAAATCGAGAACCTCTTCTAGGTGAGCTATGCTCATCACGACGTGAGCTACGGGTTTTCTCCTTTTTATCATGTTCATCATCACTATGATCGGTTTTCTTTTTGGAGCTACTTGATTCTTTTTCTTCCTTGATTGATGATTTCTTCGTAGCCTTCTCCTTTTTACGATCTTCCTCTTCAGTTCCATCCTTTTCACGTTTCTTACCTTCTTTTTTTATTTCCTTTTCTCCAGATTCCTTGTCCTTGTCACCATCTGTTTCAGCTACTTCATCGGTTTCTTCATCGTTATTTTCATCAGCTTCATCGGCATCTGCAACCGAACCATCCTCACCCTTTTTACTCTTACTAGAAGTATTCAAATCATCTTTTTGCTGTTTCCACGAATCTTCATCATCAACATCTTCATCGGACTGTTGTTCGTCGCCGTCTTTTTCTGCAGACTTCGGACGTTTGCTGCTACTACGTTTACTTGATTTTTTCTTGGTATCAACATCATCACTCTTATCATCATCGTCCTTATTCTCTTCACCACCAGATGACTCACGTTTCCTAATGCTACGTGATGCACGTGGACTTTTTGAACGGCGTACATTATTTCTACGGCGCAATGAGCTATTGATTTTACGCAAATGCATAACATTGTAATTAAAGACATAGAAAAATTGTAGTAGTCTGATATACACAAAAAATCAAAATCAAAATCTTCATAAAATTTGTAGTACAGTAATAATAGGTAGTTGTCGTTTATTCAATGATAAAATAGGTAAAAATTCCAAGCCTTCCGTAGTTATCATATTTACACAATAATTGCATTTTACTCATAAATAAAGCAAGTTTCATAAATTATAGGTTCGCTTAGTTAAGCTATATTCTTTAGAGATTTGAAGTCGTGAAATAATATGTTATTTTGAGCTGACAATGCAAACATTTCATATAGACATTCATAATATATATATTTTATACATATAGACATATATATTAATAAATGGTTTGCATGAGCACAGAAGATCTATTAAAGGACGAGGTGCTTTAATCACATCTTCCCTTAATTAGATCTTCTAAATGAATATATTTAGAATGATTTTAATTTAGTTTCTAAGTAATTTTAACAAAGTGAAATAAACTTGATTTATTTAAGGAGAGTAAATATGCATATGTGTAGTGAATCATTGCAGCATTCATTATATGCGGATATATACAATTTCTTGATTATAAATGCTTTCAACAAATCCACAGGCCGTCTCATATATAAATAATACAAACATATTTATTTCTTCACATCAGTAATGGAAGTCAATTTCAACAGCGAATTAGTTTGAAAATCAAATTAAGTTCTGCTCCTTAGAGTGTCTACAATCAATAACTCATTCAAATTAAGTATTTACCTCTTGAAGCGTGCGAGTTTCAACGCACCTACACGTTCTCTCTGCTGAGCAAATAATAGCTTTCTGCGCATTATTCTTATATTTTCCGATTCCCTGCGAATAGGACGTGTACCGCCACCACGTATTGTTGAACGCATGCCACGGCCTGTTGAGGACATTGTGCCACGCACTTTAGATATGTAACCACTGCGGACAGTACGCTTTGGTGGGCCAAGAGGTGAACGATGGCGGTTTGAAGTGGAATTGTCACGTTCCGTACGGCTTGTATTGCCACGATATGAACCACTACCGGCATTTGAACGATAATTTGAACCAGATACCGCTTGAGACGGTGATGTACGATTACGTCCGGCTGAAGTTGTACGACGATAGTCCTGTGATGATGATGAAGATGTGTTTTTCTTTATGTTATGTTTATTTTATTTTAAAAACAAGTACAAATTTTCTTTAATTTGATATTTTTTTTCGCTAAATTTGTGTAATCTGAATTATTTTTTTATTTTTTTTTCTAGGAGTGGACAATAAAGGGAGAAACAACATTCTGTGCTAAAATTTTGTCGAGTAAAAAACTGTCATTTAAAATCAGCTTCTATATATCAGTTTAGTTAAGCGTTTTTTATTTTTCAATTAAGGCTTTTAGGACACGGGCCAAGCCGCATGTTTTAAGGCAGTTCAGTTCAGATTTGGACGCACTTAGCCATTATCTTATCATATTATTGTCATATAATATATTAAGTTAGTTTTGCAGTGCTCTGCGCTATTTGTGTGTAGAATATAATCGTTGCACATATCAAGCTATATAGAGTAATTTATAGGGCATATATATAGATATATAATTTAACGATGACTGTGTTGTATGAACCAACTAAAGCAGCAATTGTCACTTTATAATCATATTTAGACCTTTTAAAATGAAGTTGTTTACATTTAATATTTTGGCTTTCGTTGGATCACCTTTCTGTATAAATATCTTTTCTTCTATTCCATTTTCAAGTGCTGTAGTAAACAGCTTTCGATTTTCTATATATATTTCTATTTAAGCATAAATATAAAATATATAACTATTATTATATAAGTTTTTTAGAGTGTATGCTAGATTTTTTTGTTTTGCTTAAATGGAATAAGAGTAAAATCTATATGGATTAAGGCTTACATATGTACAGCGTTATATAAAAAATTACGTTAATTGAATTGCTATACATTGTTTGGAAGTACTTACGTCTTGGCGAGAACGTTTTCTATCATCGGTTCGATCACGAGATGAGTCCTTTAAGAAAGCAATGAAAATTATTTATTAGATTTCAAGGCAATAACGTTATAATTTAATTATATACATTATAAGAATAATATAAAACATAATAGTTATTTATAATATGCTAATTATATATTTTAATAATTAATAATATTATAATAATAGAATAGAATATATTATTAGAATAATAGAATACTATAAGAATACGAAATAGAATAATTTTATATAGCACAATTATATTTTATTACATTAATTATATATACTATAACAATTATACATTTAATAATCAATATTTTAATATTCTAATAATAATATTATATATAATATATTATAAGTTTATAACATTAATTTATAATTAACAACTAAATATATTACAATAATTACTCTGTATAATTAATAATAATTATATATACATATTATAATAACAAATTATATTACAATAATAATAATATAAATAATATATTATAATAATTAATACATTATATATAATATTAATATACATATTATAATAAAAATATATTATAATAATAACATATATTATAATAATAATATATATTATATATAAATATATATTATAATAATATACACTATCATAATGACTTACATCCTCATTATGTATATTATAATAATATATATTATCATAATTATATGTACTATAATAATTTTATATATTATATATATTATAATAATCACATTTATTATAATAATTATGTATATCATAATAATAATATCAATTATAATTATTACATATATTATGATAAAAATTATTTCTAAAATATATTATTTGTGGTGCTTAAGTTTATTACCTCTTCCTCACGTAACAAATTTGTAAAAAAGACCCCTAATCTTTGGTCTTTCAAATTGTAGTAATTACAAAGATCACCCAAAACTCTAAGTTTGTATTTCATTCAAACAATGCTACTATATAGAGAGGACCGAGAAAAGCTATATTGGTTTTAGACAATACATCTAAAACCACGACTAGACTATTAGTGGTTAGTAGTAGACTAGTTTTACTAGATTATAGTCTTGTAAGTTAGACTAGCAGTAAGACCGCTGTTGCAACCGATTTATAGCTTTCAAAAAACGTTAATAATAGAAATTCTGAAAGCAACAATTTTTTGGTCCTAGTACATTTTAGAGACCAAAGTACCGCCAAGCCTTCCCAGGAGGATTTAAAAAAAAAGTGTGAAAGACTTTTACATTACATTGTACGCTATTATTAATAGTGGTAATAGATATTATATATAACATAATACATTTGCGTTTAAAACTAAAATGAGGTTAAATATTAAAGCACATTTTGTTCATACGGCGTCAGTGTAAATGAATAAATCTGAGACTTACGGTCTGTACACTCACATCTGTCAAATAGACAATTTACCAGTGAGTCAAAACTTGTTATAATTTGAATGTAAAAAAGGTTTTAAAATAAACAAATGTTTTTGTTCATTGAAAATAAGTTTTCAAACAATAACTGCCTACGCTTAAAGAATTGTGCAGTAACAGTGGTGGTTAAAAAGTTGTAATACACACAATAAAAGCACATATAAGTGCATGCGCAATAAAAAATGTAATACATTTTAAAGAAGTACCGTTCTGAATTACAAAAAAAAATATATTCCATCATTAGTCTTAATGCAATTATTTCGAACTTATTTTAACAGTTAAACAATAAAAACAATGCAATTAACTGCATTGCGTACCGAACAAACACATTTTTATATCCAAACTCAACAAACAAGTCTCAATTAAACTTCCATTAAGCACACTATCAAGTGTAATTTTAAATAATCGAATTAACTAAATTATAAAAAAAAAATAATTACAAGAATCAAAATTCATAATATAATAAAAGACAGAAAAATATTTACCCGATAATGACGCTTATTGAGAGTATCATGACGATTGGCACCACCAGAAAATTTACTACGATTTCTAGAATCATAATTGCTACTATTTCCGCCACCACTGTAGCCACCAGAATTGTAACGAGAAGAGCCGCCACCACCACCTGAGTTGTAATTATCACCGTACCGGCCGCTACGTCCGCCCGAAGATTGAACGCGATTACCATAAGAATTAGAGGACCGATAATTACCACCTCCACGTCCTGCTCCACGACTACTATAACCACGGCTTCCACGCATTTTAACTATTATAAATTTATAAACTATTAATTTGAAAAATACTAGTAAATTTAATGCATGCAAAAAATATAAAAAAAATTCAAAATGGAGGTCGCTGCCGGCGCACCATTAGCAAACCACGCGAAAAAATCAATAAATCTTTTAATCAATATATATAGCATTTTACTCACAAATTATAGTCAGTCAAGTGAATATATAAAATTAACACGATGTTAATGTGGTTATTTACAAATTTTAAATTAATTTCTTAGATTTTTCTTAGAACTTCTATTTTTTTCACACAATTCTTTCGACACACGACCGAGCCAAAGAAAATCACAAGCTATAATGAGAAAAATTGGTACAATTATGTAGTATATATCAAACTGTGTGTTTATCTTGACGTTTTACTTTACTCGCATACTTGATTGAGAGAGATGAGTTATATGCTACAATTGTTGCCATATAAACATTTTTTGTGATTGACTTAAAATAATTATATTATATATTTGTAAATTGTAAGATTTAAAAATTATTATTAATAAAAGAAGTTAAGTGTAAGTAAAATAAAATTCTACTTTACCCTGAATTAAAAATAAATAAAATTCTAATGCAAATACTCTGCTGCACTATACCTAGTATTATAATTATGCTATTATTATTATTATTATTATTATGACAGTTTGAAATGTATTGGGAAACTCTTTTTTGATATATTATGAATAAAATTTTTTATTAGACGGCTTCAAATGGCAAAGTAAAAACAAATACAAAAATTTGTTTAATTTATTAAAATTTGGTTAACCATACAACTCTGTTTCGAGTATTGCAAAATGCTCATCATGAGTGATCTTAAGAAATATTCGACTACTCATGATGAGTACCTGGCTGCCCTCTATGTACATCAAAATAGCTAAATATGGTTATTTATTTATTATGTATTTTCTAAATTTTATTAATAAATTTGTTAAAATAATTTTTTGAAGTTGTGCGCAGGTAATGAAGCAATGTTTTTTCTTGAAACAGCTGCGCACATCATTAGAGTTAATTAATTGAAGGTCACATCTCTATACTTCATTCGAAAAAACCTAATATCATTTCTTGTATTTTTATTTTTTAAATAAATTTATTTTATGGTAATTAAAATTTTTAACTTTAATTCTTTTGTGCACATTCACCCTTTTTAGGTGCTGCCTTTGTTTTCAATTTTCTTAATCGTTTTATTTCCTCTTTGAAATTTGAATGTTTATAGCGGAACAGACGATGTGATTTTTCATCAGAATATGCGTTTCTACAAGTCTAAAATATCAATTGACCATAACATATAGCCACGGTTGTAAGCTCTTATAAGCTCTTCGGCATACATACGCACCACTTTCATGGATTTAGGATTCGTTTCTCGTGCGACTTCATCAAATATACGATTGGAGAGATAATTCATACGCCTAGCATAATGTGTATTCAATTTAATTAAATCATCATATTTGTATTCCGACAGTCGGTATTAAATTCGTATTCGTAGTGCTTTTAAGTAGTGAAATAATTACAATGAAATATGAATATTTACTACATTTCTAACGACATCGGTAATTATGTATCTATCCGGTATTTCCATAATATCTATAAGTTTAACAAATTGATTTTTTATGAATGAAATGTGGGTGTATAATGGTAAACCATATGTAGGTATCGGGTTATAGGAATACTTCTAGCAGCTGAAGGGCCTAGTAAACTACCAAAATGTAGCACACAGCTTCCCGTTATATAAATTTTAAGAATGTAAACATTCACTTAGTTAGTTAGCTAGTTGAAGTGGGGGGAGAGGATTCAATCTCCTTCAATTAGCTAAGAAAGCCAATTAGCTAAGAAGGTGGGTACCAAAAGGTCGAACTAGAACTAGCTAGAAGCATTCTGGTCAATGCTAATACCGAAAATATCGCTGAGTGTATTAAAGAAGGTTAAGCCTAGTTCTGATCAGGTATGGAAATAGACACAACCAGTGTTCTACTTTCTTCGAGAGTATGCAGACTTGTTTTGTAAGAGACACCACAAGGATGACCAAGTCCAGCTCCATGCCGTCCAATGGTACAGTGCCTGTAAATATAGATATTAATCCAGATACCTCTGATTTGCTTCTGTTATCAAGTAAGAGGTTTTGCAATTGGAAAGCATTCACTTAGTCTGTGATAAATTGGTTATAATCAAAAAGAATTTGTATTTAAAGTATATAAACACGGAACACATATAACATTTTTCCATTACAACCAAAAACAAAAAAAAAACAGCAACTGTATTATCCTCCACACCTCTAATTGACTAATACAATTACCGCATTAGCGGAACATGGTTTCATATGCAAGCATGCCGATCGGTTAGTCCCTCCTCTTAATTGTTGATGTCATATTAGTGTCTTAGGGTCACTTATTTAGTTTGTCATTACTCAAGTACTTGCCAGAAGGCATTCATCATTCCTCAAGGTGCATTCACACCAAAACGAACGCTTGCGAACGAACGAATATTCGCAGGTAGTCGTACATATAAAATTCCGTTCATTCGCAAGAGTTCGCTTTGGTGAATGATTATTTTTTTGAAAAGATGTGTCGATACGTGTTGATAAATGGCTAAATGTAAGCAGTACAAAAATTCCCAAAAAATCTCCCATTTGGTTTAGTATCAACTTAGCCTAACTCCACACGTCCTAAATTAATTGGTTAATAATTAAATTAAATTGAAACATTAAAAATGAGAAAATATTTTATCTTTATGTAAGTTAAGGTATTATATTTATATATTTATGAGATGAAATTATTAATTATTTTAATAAAATATTTTTGTATATTAATATAATCCCACTGTAGTACGTTCAGTGCAGGCATATTTTTGAAAGGCATTGTATTTAAATTCACTTCGTTCTACACACACAAATTTATACTACATTCATATTTTTATTAAATTAAATGATTAATAATTTAAATAAATAATGAGAAAGTATTTATATAATATATTTTATATAATATAATATATTTATTAGATGAAATTCTTAATAATTTTGAATATATAATATATCCCGTATATTGACTTATATACACACTTGTATTTAATTAATTATATTAAAATTATTAAATGCACTCAGAAACTTTGTTGGTAAAACAACTTATAATTATTCTAATTAAAATATTTCCAAATAAATAGTAGAATAAATCATTTTGTTATTATAATTATTAAAACATATTTTACTTACCCTAAATTTAAAAAAAAATCATAATTTCCATTACAAAAAAATGAATTCATTGTCATGCAATTTTTTTTTCTCGTTCGAGCACACACACACACACACCTGGCAACATTTTAATAACCACAAATCCACAAACTTTTGCTCCTTCACCTCGATTTCAAGCATGCAAGAAACTTACTTCCTTTTCTTAAGCCGTGTTGGTTCAAGTATCTTAACTACTTTTGTCTAGCTATTTATATATAAATTATGCAGAAGGTAATTAAAATCCTTACAAAGGATTCTTGCTCTTCATCGTGCTGTTGCACACTTTTTGTTGCAGGTGTGTGACGCTTTTACTTCATCGCAGGAGCGTTCAAGGTGTTTGGTGCTTTAAGTAAAAATGTGACGCTATAGAATCGTAAGGCAATCTATTTAATGAATATAAAGTAGTTATAAGGAGTTAATACACACAAATATGTATATCCGTTTAAAATTCTATAATATAACGCCTACATTTGTGTAATAAGAAGTATTTTTTCTGGGTTAACTGAAAGGAGTTTATATTGATATTGTTTCTTTTAATTTTCTTTTAGTTTCTTTTAGTTTATATATAGATATTGTATATAGATTAGTTTATATATAGATATCATTTATTTTATTACCTTAACAAATGGGATATAGGTATACTAAAAGATACAGTATTAAGGTGAGTAGTAATGTCGTATTTCAGTCAGTGGACCGATAGCGTATCTGATATGTTAGCGACACCGATTATTACTAAAAGTTAAGAAGCTGACCAAATCTTCTAATTGCTGATGGATCATATATTTGTTTCATTTTTGACCCATGATCAAAATCTTACCTAAATTCTTTTTTTTATTTATTTCTTTCTATAGATCAAAAGCATCGAAAGCCACAGTGAAAATAAATATACTTCAACCATTGCACCGTAAAGGTTGAAAGCTAAAACCCCATTTCAGTAATCAAGAGTAAGAAAGATCAATCTGGTCGCAGTGCTCATCTCCGTCCGGAGCTAGTGCCTCGTTTATTCCTATCAAGAGAAAGGCAGAGATTAGAAGATAGAAAAGTCTTAGTATTAAGACCACAAATACATCTACGCCAAAATTTTAAAACAAGTGAGGGAAGGAATGTGAGGACGGTTTTGCTAGGTGGTAATTACTGACTATGAATAAACTCTGTTCAAGGGATTATTGTAATTACGATTGTGGCGAGGCATTACAAGAGTGAAATGCACGTTATCATTCAGATAAAGGAACAGAAATATAGGAGGCTTCTACCATTGGGCTGAGTGAAGAATATCATGGGGAGGATTGTGAGGATTGGAATCCACATAAAGAGCAAGGAATTGGAAAAATTTTTAGTTCATATTATTAAGCAGATCAATGGAAAATTGAGCTGGGGGAAGAATATCAGTGGGAATATTATGAGACCTGAAAGGTAAACAAAAAGTCAATCAATTGCTAGATATTAGAAGAGTTGTTTATTATTATTAAATAATAGTCTTTGAATGCACCGCGATCTAAAAGATCTATTGTGCGACTAAATGGTCAACTGAAACAATTTTAGACCATTTATAATCTCGGTACTGCTGTGGGCTTAATTTTACCTATTTTATTTGGGACCGACATGTAGCAAACGAAGTTTGGAAAAATACCTGCCATCAACTCTGGGTTTGTAGTCAATGTAGTCTTGAAGGATTTTTCTTTTCAATGCTCAAATGTGTTCCATTTAATGGATTGCGTTTCCGGGTCAAATGGAAAATGAGTATACAAAGGCTCATTAGTTGCTTTATTACAAGCAACTAATGAGATTTGTTATTTGTACGTTTTGGTATTTTATGTCAAAGTCGAAGAGTGGCATTGGCAAAGTGATGAGGTGATAAACACGAAATGAAAATGTGTTTAATTGTGAAGACGTTTGCTCAGTATTTTAACCTATGGATAAGGGGAAGACCTTTAAATTCGAAGGTTTATGTATGGCTGAGGATCTATAGCCCCTGGAATGGTTATGATAACTGTTAAGAAAAGCAATTTCTGGTTTTTGAGGGATTGAGTTTGGATCAAAAACTTTCTTTTGAAATTATTAGACCAGCATGCGTAAAG